GAACAGCTGAGGGTTTGCACCTGAGCTCAGGGTTGAATATAGGAGGGATGGGAACCCGGTGGCGTGAGGGTGAGGAGGAAGAAGATAACAGAAAGAGTGGTCAAAGAGTAAGGTCCGGAGCTGGACCTTGAAGGAGGCGAGGGAACAGAAGAGGTGAAGGGATTCTGGGTTGGAGTTCCAGAGCGTGGGGACAGAAAGGCTGAAAGCCCGAATGCCAATGGTGGGACGGGCAAGGTGGGGGATATGAAGCAGGTCGGTGCCTGCTGAGTGGAGGAAGCAGACAAGTTGGTAAGGTTTAAGAAGGTTTCAGAGGCAGGGTGGGACAAGATCCTGGAGGGATTTAAAAGTGTGGATCTCTGCATTGAAACCATGACTGTTCTAAATTTTTTTACATTGATTTGTACTTTTTTTTGTTGCTTATAGCCTTCTGAATTTTTTACATTTGTGCAGATTCTGAGCACCAATTTAAATGGAAAATTGTAACTACATAAGATACCTATGTATCATTTTGGTGTATAAAGAGCACTATGAATATATTAATCAGTTTTATTAGAGGGAATATGCTGAAGATATGAGGTTAAACCTGATGTAAATAAACAGTAATGTGGATTTGTGGCTTCTGAGCAAAACAAAACAGTGACCAGCATCTCAACCCATTCTTATTTTCCAGGCTTGGCAAATTCAATACATAGGAGTTTCTGGAGCATAACTATATATTGAAAAGTCAGGATCATTTGCAGTGATTTACATATGCTTAGATGCCTTGATCACAGATCAAGTACCGAAATCATACTTTTATAGAAACACCAAACAGTTTATCAACTACAGACACCTTGTCTATAGCCTGACCACAGTAAATGGCCCAAATTTATCATTGATAAGTGACGGTTGCCAGCAGCACTGCTGAGGGAAGTCAGTCTCACCATGCTTATCTTTGTTCTGATAAGTGGAATCATAAACATAGGTCTTTTTAAAGGTGGTCACTGCAATCAAACAATAAACAAGGAAGGTTAGAGAGGTGGCTAAACAAACCTATCACCATTAGATCCAGGGGTGTTATTTGACTCATCATTTACTAGGTCAAAACAGTATTAGGCAGCAATGAAGAACAACAGTATTCATTTTCTTTATCTATTAAGACCAGCACGTGGCCTAATAACTGGCAACTGAAGTTTGATACAGATACATGCAAGATACGACATGAAGGAATAATAATAATAGTAATCCTTATTAGGGAGAGATTTCCAAGTTTTGGGGTGTAGTGACTGAAAACACAGCCTCCGATTGTGGAGTGGTTCAGGGCCAAGCAGGAGACCAGAGCCAGCCGAGCAGAGTAAGCAGGTCAGAGAGGTAGGAGGTGCCAAGGCTTGAAGGAATTTGTAGACGAGTGTGAGGATCTTGAAGTCGATCCATTTTGTGATAGGAAGAATGGAGCCTGGCAAGGACTGGTGTGATAGTGTTTAGAGTGGGTGAGTATATCGGCATTGGAGTTTTGAATTACTTTAACAAGGCAAACAAGGCTATATTGCTAAATTAGTTTAGATCCCCAGATGTCACACTCAGGCTACATAGTGCTCCGGTCAGACCAAAGCTACAACAACAACAACAAAATTACATTTATAGAGCACCTTTCATGTCGGGAGGACGTCCCAAAGCTAGAGGACTGCATCACAACTTAAGGGGCTGTCAAGGTCCTAGAAGCAATGCAAAGGAAAACAACAAGGATGATTTCCCAGTGTTAGAGGTATGAGGTATAATCAACAATCAGACAAGCTAGGACACTTCAGTCTTCAGTCTTGGGATGTCCTCCCAATGCGAAAGGCGCTTTACAAATGTAATTTTGTTGTTGTTGAAAGGAGGCATTTCAGAAAGCACCTCATTAAGATGTAAACAATTTTAAATGGGATTGAAAAAGTAAACCTAGAAAAATACATTATGATGTACCAAGACAGTAGAACAAGAGGACGTAGGTTTAAGAGTTACAAGTGAAAATTTCAGGACGGACACCAGGAAGATTTTTTTTGCCCAGAGAGACATTAGCGATTGGTTGCCAGCGAAACAGGTTGAGGCCAAGACACTGGACTCATTTATAAAGCAGCTTGACGTTGTGATGGGAGGATGGTAGGGTGAGTGTTCTGGAGGGATAAGATCAGATGGGCCAAAGGGCTTTCTTCATTCAAACCCATCTTGTGATCTTGTGAATAAAGGGACCATTGTTCTTATGTAAATCAAGATAACAATAACTTGAATTTATAAAGCAACAAGAAATTACATTTGTATAGCACCTTTCACTTCAGGAGGACGTCCCAAGGCGCTAGACAGTCAGGGATTTGGACACAAGCAGGGGATTGGCATCAGGAGGGGTGGAGGGCAAAGAGGGTAGGGATAGAAAGGTGGTCGGAGGTGCAGTTGAAGGGGGTGGTGTCTTGAGACGTGCCTTGAAGGAAGCAAGGGAGGGAGCAAGTTGAAGGGACTGTGGGATGAAGTTCCATAGGGTGGGGGTAGAAAAGCTGAAGGCCCGATCGCCGAAGATGGGGTGGGAAGGGCGGGGGACGTGGAGCAGCCCAGAGTCTGCTGATTGGAGGGAGCGGGCATGTTCATATGACAATATTGCGCCCCTCACGCAGAGTGGCATCCCAGAGAGCATAAGACATACAAACACAGGAACCACAGATATGGATTCACATAGGATTCATAAAGATTGAGCATTTCTGTTGGGCTGGGGTTATGCACATTTGGCTAGAATCAATCTTTACAATTCCTGTGCAAATCTAGGTTGTGCTTTAGACCCCAGCGAGTGCAATTGGGGGATTCTACTGTAAATGGTGTCACAACTGAGTTTGATCTTGATTCTGTACCTGACATACCCACATATACATATAATATTACCCAGTTTACCATTGCTTCTCCTGCCTTTGACTGAGATTGAATAGCAGCACAGACAAAATGTTGATCATATGCCTGAGAGAAAAGGGAATAGAGAGGGAAGAACAAAAAGAGAGGTTTGCGAGGGGATAGGGAAAGATGATTATGAGGCGCACGTGTGACATGGACTAGTTGGGCCGAACAGTCTAATTTGGTGCTGTATAGTTTATGTAAATCTATGAACAAGGGATAACTTTGGGTTGCTGCATCATGCAGCAAAATTACCCATTGTGGGAGCTCTGAGTATGTAATCACATGCACACGTGTACAATCACTATTCCCCACTTCACTGTCACTTCCCCCTCCATCAACTAAGATCAAATAACAACACAGACCAGAGATTGAACCAGGGACCACCTTTGGGTCGTCACATCACGCATTGGAATTATCTGTTGTGGGAGCTCACAGTGTATAATTGTGTACAAGTCTATATTTTCCATCACAAGAAATGTGGTAAACTGCCTTTGAAGGAAACTGGGATCCAAAACTGTAAAGCGCTCTGAGACGCTGTCCGGCGTGGAGAGCCCTATATAAATCCAAGTTGTTGTTATTGTTGTTATTCTAGTTGGGGAGAGGAGTTGGCAGCAGAGTTTTGTATGACCTGGATTTTATGAATGGTAGTGGAGGGGAGACTGGCAAGGAAGGTATTTGAATAGTCCAGCCGAGAGGTGACAAAGGCATGTACCAGGGTTTCAGCAGCTTTTGGAGAGAGGTATTGGTGGAGACGGGCGATGCGTCAGAGGTGAAAGAAGGCGATGCTGGTGAGGGACCGGATGTGGGGGAGGAAGGATAATTGGGGGTCAAACCTGAGATTGCGTATGGATTCGGAGAATTTTCGGGGGAGGTCGGGTAGGTGAGAACCGTGAGATTTTAGACGTTGATGAGAGCCAAAGAATATGGCTTCCGTCTTGTCAACGTTCAGCTGATGGAAATTTGTGCTCATTCAGCCCCTGAGGTCTGACAGGCAGGCTGACAGAACATCAGGGGACTGGGGATTGCAATATGAAGTGGGAAAATAGAGTTGGGTGTCATCTGTAGCTCAGATGGAGTCTGAGCTCAGTGGTTAGAGCACTCGCTTTGCAAGTGAGAGACCTGAGTTCAATTCCAGGCAGAGGGCGAAACCCTGGGCAAGTTTCCTTACTCCACACAGAGCCTAATAATAATCCCTCCAAAAAAAAAAACAAAAACAATAATAAATTGGTCATTTTCAATCCACGACTGTTTGTGGGACATTGCTGTGCGCAATTGGCTGCCGCGTTCGTCCACAAATATACAGTCAATTCACTTTACAGTGTGTTCTGTGAAGCGCTTTGGGACGTCCTCCCAACGTGAAAAGCGCTATATCAAATGCAAGGATTATTATTATTATTATTATCTGCATACATGTGGAAATGTACCCCATGTCTGCGGATGACATCCCCAAGAGGGAGCATGTAGATCAGGAAAAGGAGGGGGCCAAGGATGGATCCTTGGGGTACCCCTCAGGTAACCGGGTGAGAGCGGGAGGAGAAGCCGTTTGTGCCGATGTACTGCTGGCGGTTTGTAGGTAGGACTCGAACCAGGCGAGTGTGGTCCAACTGAGGTGGATGACGGAGGAAAGGCAGTGGAGGAGGATGGCGTGATCAACTGTGTCGAACGCGGCGGAGATGTCCAGGAGGACAAGGAGGCAGAGGGAGCCCTGGTCACAGAGAGAGAGGATATAATTTGTGACTTTCACAATCGCAGTGTCTGTACTGTGGGCAGGGCGGAAACCAGATTGACGGGGTTCGAAGAGGGAGTGTGAGGAGAGGTGTGCGCGAAGTTGATTGGCAACAACGCGTTCTAGGACTTTTGCGAGTAAGGGCAGGTATTTAGGTATTTTACGTGGACATTCTGAAGTTAAAGAGCAATGAGGAAACAGCAATTGTAGCAGATTGTCATTGAATCAATAGATGTTGAAGCCACTTTGTAACAACCAATGTTTTTACACACAATGGGGATGCTTGTAATATTAACATAATTCATGATGATACCCATCTTTTCTCTATGTCCATGAATAATTAAACAAAAAATAAATTTCACTCATTTAAAATGGGTCAGATGTACTATATTTTATTTATTCCCACGTAACAAGAAATGAACAGTTACAGAAGGACATATCGGTAACATCTGCAATCATACATTACATACAATTTGAAACAAATAATGCAACATTTATTCTATGTTACTACATTCTAGGATTTTTTTTAAAGTTTGTGTCATTTGTTTACATTTCATGTACATTTTTGTTTCTGTACCAAACTGCTGCACTTGTCAAAGGAGATGGATTTGAATAGATGCATCATACAAAAAGCAATATCATTGAAGCATACATATGCAGTTGCTTTGAACAACACATCACAGAGACATATTTGGGATACTTGCATTCACCCTAGTGCTCAAGGAATTTACAAGGCAGCATAGCATAAATATACAATGATCTCTACGTAAATGTCCGTGGGGAGACATTCAGAACCCAATATGTAAGATATTCTCTCGAATTTTGTTCCTGTTGTCTTAAAGGGGCGTACATTTTTACCTCACTTTTTAAAGACTTGGCAGGGCACACACAATATATTTGCTCAATAAAAGTTACAAAAAAGAATAAATATTCACAGGAGAACATATTCTTTACAAGGATAACAAATACGAGACTGCACATTGAATCATATGTGCACAGAAAGTGAATACAACTCTACTGATCACCAAACAGACTGCACAACGCTTATGCTTTTTGTGATTTTGTCATATACAACGTTTTTGAATCAAGAATTATATATTTGAAGAAATGAAAATTCATTAGCAAAGTCCTTTTGGTGTACCACTAACATAAAGAAATAAAAATAAAATACTGTATGCCTAAAATAATGCCAGTAACACCAGCAAGTATATAAAAGGTGATCACTTAAAAGAGAGACAACAGGATCCGAAATTTCTCATGCTCTTAGCCTTAAGATCATTACATTCAGACTGAATTTGGAAGACAATCTTTTTGAGTACTGTACTGCCAAAATTTGACTTGAAAATTAAGACTGAATTTAATACCAAATCTAAGATCATTTCCCAAAATGTACTGCATGATTTAAAATCTTAATGTCTTAAGCCTAAGTACTTGAGAAATTTGGCCCCTGATACGCTCAATTCATAGTACTATAGTTCCAAAGTTTCCTAAAGCTCCCACCTCTCAGCTCATGTAAGTGTCGATCTAATTTCAGTGCACAAATTCCTTTAAAATTCTAAACAGCTTGTGTCAGTGATTGGGAAAGTCAGCACAACACAGCACAATCTATTGTTACTGTCATAAAAAAAATCAGAAGGACAAATAAGAATTACAATATCCATTGCTGTCACAGCCCCATATGCTACTCTCTGAACTTTGGCAAATAGTTGCCCTGTAGCCTTCAGTCTAATTCTAAGTATATTTTCCTTCCAAGTTTGTTTTAATGACAAATTGAGCCATGAAGTTAACAAAGTACATCACAAGTATTGTGTGCTATTATTAATACACAGAAATTATGTAAACAGACACCTGACTATTGCTAATCAAATATTAGAAACATATCTGTGCACTATATTAGTTGTAAAAAAAACTCTTAAAAGTACTTTTCTTGGCTAAACTCGACTTTTAACATTTGTTTTAAAGACATTTATCTGTTTATTTTCCCAAACCCTCGTTATTGCAATGACTCTCATTGGTTGTATGTGTAGAAGTGTGCTTTCAGGATTCATTTATGTAGTTAACCTTTGACAATGGTATGGTACAAGGTGATGCTCTTCAGAATAATGTTTGATATTTTTGGGAGCAAAAAACAGACTAGCACAGTGAAAGGTACTTTAATGAAATAATCTAGGTTGTGAGATAATAACAATAAGGCAATAAAAAAGAAGTCCTACATAATAGAAAGACTTTAAATAGCTATTTTTACTCCCATGACATTCTAACAACAATTTATATTTATATAGCGCTTTTTGCGTCAGAAGGATGTCTCAAAGAGCTTCACACTGGGACTGAATAATAAGGAGTGAAAATTATTTTATGCCTTTAATAGTCTGATTTACTTTAGTCTGATTGCTTTTCCTAATATCACAGATATATAAAGTGAATCATACTAACAGTTGCTTTGTAATATTTCAAACAGCACTCCTAAGTTATATATTTACAATTTTGAATGTTACAGTACACAATATTTAACATAAATATACAGATTTATGTTTTGGAAGTAAAGCAAGAATTAACTGGTAGTATGCCAGTGAATAGTAAAATTGTAAAATTCAGAGAGCAAAGAAGGCATGTGTGTATTTGTTGGAGAGGGTGGTATATCCAGGAAAATAAAAAGCAGCTTTAAGAGGGAATTCTTTGGTGTGGGTTTGGAAATTAATTGGAAAAACAGGAATGTTCTACAATGGTTTTATTCGGCTTTAATGTACGGCGATCGGATTTGTATTTGAGTCTTGGTGATAGTATTAGGTAAACAACCTAATGTAGTTTATTTTACGTCAGTATTCAATTCTTCGCAGGATGTGCCATTTCAGGATAGAAGCAATCGAAAACATTTTGGTGCCAAGCTTTTAAACCAGTTTATAACTTGTGTTTTAATTCTGATTGTTCTTTTAGAGTCGTGGGTTTAACAGCAATCAGCCTTTGCAATGTCTACCATCTGTACAGTGCTTTCCCCAGCTTACTCTATGTACCCTTGTGTGAGTTGAATTGCTCGGTCTGTCGCAAAAATGTTCCTCAATGGAATTTCTAAAACACCGATAAACCTGCATGTTTAACATAAAGGTAGTTTTGTTCAAGAAAAAAATGCTGAAATGAGACTTGTAATCAAAGAACATGTTATTGTGTTGCAAAATTTAAGTGCATGTAAATTGAACTTCCCAACATACTACTGCAAATTACTGGAAAATATAAATTTAAAGACAGGAAGGAGAAAAGGCTAGTTGAAAGACAATGATTTTAACAGGTAGAGGAAAGCAAATCTATGAGCAATCAATACAAATAAATTCCATATACATTAGGAACATTAAAATTACAACCTCCAGAATTTTTAATTGGCGAATTATAACAGAACATTCATAAACGATTGTCCCCGAGGTTGGAAAATACATTGACAAATGGCCAATAATCCCAGTAAAACTGAAAACCTTCAATTTGGGCTGAACTAAGCACAAAATTATACTTTTATCCATTTGTCTCGCAGGGCAGTGCTCCAGTGAGTACAGAACAACATATGCTTTGAGGTTGCAAGGTTACAAAGACAGTAGCAGAATTTCATGGCTCTGAATTGGTTCAGTGCTACTCTCCCTAGTTCTTGAAACCTTTTATTAAAAATGAATCCCTGCATTACTGAGTTTTGTCAGGAGCAGTCTTATAGCAATAATTTTCTCACCATAGCCTGAACTAGCAAAGGATTGGATATAAATCTGTCTTCAGATTGCACAGAAGCTACAGACATGCCTTTACTTACACATTTTATTTTTGTACTCTTCCAAAAGCTAAGCAGGTGATCTTCGTGATAGTACAAACCATTTTAAACTCTGCACCTTACCCCATCAGCTGTGGATTTATCTGTGTTCTGTGTGAGATCCCAGCTGGAGCGCTGTCAGAAATGTTCAGAGTGCTCTCACAAGCTATTTCATTTCAATTGTATACAAAGGTATGCTGATTTTTGTAAAACGTATGCAATGTCTTTCATGCCACTGTTGATTGCTTTGTAATGCTGGCATCAGAGGATTTTCTGGCATGCCAAAGATGGTTTGAAAAAAAAGATCGTCAGAATTTCAATTGTTGGCAGTGAAATCCGAATAAGCTTTACAAAAATCCTATCCTACCACAGAAAATCAAAAGACCTGACAGACAAGAGTCTGTAAAGCAGCACATACCATGTTATCAGCAAAGTAGATCTAAAAAAAACTATTAAAAAAGCGAGGTTGTTCTTGCATGCTGCTGTCTAGCATTCAAGATGTCAAATTCAGAGCAGATGCACAAATAAACCCACACAATGCTAATAGCTAGATCCTTCTTAGACAGCAGCCATTAGCCAAGGTGACTATGATAAGGAATAAGTTCTTGAATTCCTTTCCTCTTCCGATTCTTCAGCTGATCTTTGGAACTGATGATCGTGCTAACCTGCAATCAGAAAGCAAATGACAATTACACCATCGCAGCCATCATTGGACTATGAATCTCTAAAACCTCTGTGACTGAATTTTGGAAAATTCTTCAATTCGATCTTAATTTGGACGCTGGCTTTCTGCAGTTCTTTCTAAAAAACAGCCTGAATTCAAGAATTTTCTAAAATTCAGCATAATATTACATTTCAAGACAACAATTTTAACACTTCAGACCACAAGAAATTTCAGCCTCGGAAACCTCAATGTTCCTCGTCATACCATGGAAAGCATAAAGCATAAACGTTGAAGTTCCATAGACGTACATGATACCTGGAAAGGCTGAAAGTGAAATTAAATTTGGCTATGGAATCAACTGTGTGAAAGCAGGGAACAGTGACACTATACCACTGATCACCCCCTCCCCCCACCTCCTCCCATAACCTAGATGATTTTAGCTTAAAAATGGTTTACAGGACTACTCTATGTGTCTCATTCAATCAGAATTATATTTTTCAAAGCACATTCACTAGGTTCAAGAACAACAAATGACATTTGCATAGAACCTTTGTAATTTGTTGTTGTTGTTGCTCAGTAATGATCAATTAAAAATAAATATAATACTAAACTAACAGAGAAACAATCAATCAGAACATTTAAATGCCAGATAAACGACACCGACATAGTGTGCTTTATAATCTGTCTAACCTATATAGAAACTTTTGCTTGTCACTAATTTTAATGACATGTTTCTGTGAAGCAGTCGCCTCAGTTCTGCTTTACACTGTAAATCGTTTCACAAGAAATGAACTACAAATACTTGAAGAAAAAAAGCAAATATGGAATGATCAGCATCAGAGGACATTTCAATTTTAAGTTTAGTAGCTGTACTGACTTACAGATTCAGTTTGAATAATTGTCAAATAAGTATTTTGGAGACAATTTGCTTCAACAAATATGCATTATGTCTGAATCATATAATGATAGATATAACAAATATAATAATAATCCTCACAGTTGATGTGGTGCCTTATCACATTGTTGAAATGTCTCAAAAAGTATTTTGCAGGATTTACTGTGAAGTGTAGTGACTGTGCATTTGTAGGCAAACAAAGAGGCCAATTGCGGATAGCAATGCCACAAGCACCCATGAAGTGACTCATTTTATCTGAGAAATTGTTCACCATAACAGTGGGAGAAATTCCCTTCTCTTTTCAAATAATTTCATGGGATATTTAATGTCCACTGACTGGACAAATGAGCACTCAGCTTTAATTTTCTCGATCATTTTGCTTACATTTTGTCCCAAGAATTTCTCGACCACAACATTTACTAATTCTTACTATAGATATTTTTCCTTTCATTCTTTCCATTTTATTCAGTACTTTTGTGATAAGACATAAGGCTACACAGCCATGTACATAATTATCACTTAAATGTGTGCAATTGACTACTTCGTTTCGCCCATGAAATACACAGTCAATCCACTTTGCAATATATCCTGTGAAGTGCTTTGAGACATCTCAACGGCATGATAAAAGCGCTTTGTCAGATGTATGGATTATTATTTAATAAACTTAAGTAATAAATTGTTCTGCACAACAGATATAAACAAAGCTCGGTCACTCAGTTATAACAATATGCAATAAACAAAGTTTGATCGGCATTCTAGCTGCAATATCATTCAGTCAGAAACAATTATAAATCCCATACAGCAAATTAGCCACTACTATAACTTATTCAACCTGAATCTATAATCAATAATCCATTCAACCTGTAACAACACTCCATTGATCAATGATCTAATTCAGTCTATAACCACACTCCATTGATCAATAATCCATTCACCCTGTAGCCACACTTCATTGATCAATAATCCATTTGGGTTGTACACCAATCACTCATCCATTTTTGCCCTGGCATTAAAGTCTACTCATCATCAATCCATTCAGCTGAAAACTACAGTTCCACAAGAATGCATTCTGTCTGAAATGACTGCTGTTACCTATATTTTATACATTTGTATTCAGCTGTTATCCTATTGCAGCCTGCCAAGCACCAATCCTTGAATAATTAATTGCTCCATCAGTTCCCATAATGCATTCTCATCCTGACCTACATGCACTTTGAACTACATTTTTTTATGTCTCCTTTTTTTTTAGAACCAACTGACGGCACCACATGATGGAAAAGATTTTTAAAAAATGAAACCATGCACTCCTGTAGGGTAGGTGAGTGACCTGTGGGAGAAACCTAGCCAGAGAAGATTTTCACACCTAGCATCAGACAGCTACAAATTGATTAGTTAGTCTGAGGAAATGCCACCAACCAGGCTCGTGAGACTAATTAAAGAGCGTATTGCCTGTGCAGGCACCCCATTGACACTAAATTTGCTCAGCTGGAGCCATGAGGGAGCCTGCATTATCTCTACAGCTGTGCTTTCTCTCGTCTTGACTTACATTACAGACAAGAGACGAACGCTTCCCTTCCCCCTCCCCCAACTGAATTATAAATAACCCTGTCAGTGCATTTTATTAGTGGTCCAAGTTAACTGAATGTGATGTAAACAGTTACATGGGTGACAGATGCCATAAAGTCAAACTGCATGATTTATTGCATGGTAAAGATTCTGATATTTATTAAATTCTATAAACACTATAAATGCAGTTCTTCTGTGAGTTATTGTTTAATACCAACTCAAGGAAGCAGTAAACAAAACAACTACATATAGTATAATGCTACTGAAACTATGCTTCTAAAAAAGGTATGTTTGTCTGTCGCATAGTTTCTAAATCTCTAAAATGTATCAGCACATTTTTGTGATTAAATATCCTATATTCAAATGTAAGGTAAATTACTCAGCTACAATTACAAGGGGCAAAAACTGTATGAAATTACATCAAAATCTAGAGCCAAATTAAAGAGTATGGGGAAAGAGCAAGGCAATGGGATGAGAGGAAAAAAGGGGAGCTCGCATGAACAGACATGATGGGCTGAATGGCTTCTTTCTATGCTGTAAACCCCCTATGAGGTTTCACTCCCACCTTTGGGTTTCCAAACAGTAGGTTCAAAACATCACGTCACTATACTTCAAAGCAACTCAAGATAAATTATTTCCAACCTTGGAGAGATCACTTGGGACGGGGATTCTTCCTACTCAGCTTCTGTTAACTCTGCAAGCCCAAACCCTATCAGGTAGGATACTCCTAGCTGGACAATTTTATTTGGGGGATTGTTGTCCAGGACACTGAGAGAAACACCCTTTTCTTTTTGAATAGTGTTGTGGAATCTTTAACATTCACCTGAACAGGCAGACAAGACCTCGGTTCACGTCTCATCTGAAGGACAGCACCTCCAACAATGCAGCACATCCCAAGCACTGCTTTGCAGGGTCAGCCTAGACTATATGGGTTCCAAGATCCAACATGGGACTTCAACCCACAGCCTTCTGACTCAGGCAAGAGTGGCACCAACTGAGCCAGGCTGACAAACGATATAGCACCCTATATGCAGGATCATGTCTCAGTATTATGTCTAAAAATATCTTCTGGAATCTCTCTGGGTGTGGGAAGGAGCAGGGAATTGGGAGGAGGATAAATGGGTTCTCTGTGATTGCAAACACAATAGTAATATCAAGGGCCCAAGTTTCCTCCTACTGTGTTCAATGGTTCTTAAGAACTTATGGTTCTTTTGTTGAACTACTCAAGAGTAGAAGGTTCACAGTAAATTTGGACATGATGATGTGTACGCAATCCTGCAAACTAAAGCCGTAACGATTGTGGTGGTCCTAGCTGTTCAAGTAATATGCTACATAGTTATCATAGATTCATACTTTCTCACCCTCAAAAATATTATTTCCCACAACAGCGAGAATTAGACCTTACCCCTGGGAGCATCCACATGGTTTCCTTTTTTAAAAAAACTGTCTGTGTGTTGTGGGAGGACTTTAGCATCTAAGACCACACATTGCTGCCTGAAATTGCCTCTTCACGTGTGCAATGGATTAAAAAAAACAGTAGAGTCTATCTCAAAAGGGTCCCATGACAGTTACTCAGCCAATACCATTGTAAACATACAATTGAAAAGATTGTGGAGTCCTGTAGCTCAGTGGTTAGAGCACTTGCTTTGCAAGTAAGAAACCTGAGTTCAATTCCAGGCAGGGAGAAACCTTGGGCAAGTTTCCTTACTCCACACAGAGCCTAATAATAATCCCTCCAAAACAAAACAATAATTAAATTGGTCATTTTCAATCTACGACTGTTTGTGGGACATTGCTGTGCGCAATTGGCTGCTGCGTTCGCCCACAAATATACAGTCAATTCACTTTACAGTGTGTTCTGTGAAGCGCTTTGGGACGTCCTCCCGATGTGAAAAGCGCTATATCAAATGCAAGGATTATTATTATTATTATTATAATAATAATCCTCACATTTGATATAGCACCTTATCATGTTTTCGATTACGTCTCAAAGCGCTTCACAGATTATACTGTAAAGTGAATTGATTGTATATTTCCAGGGCAAAACGCAACAGCCAATTGCGCACAGAACCTTCCCACAAACAGCCATGACCAATTTATTACCCCTGGAGAAGCGATCAGCCAATCGACTAACAACCGGCTTCCTACTTGCTGCTAGGTAAACGGGCACGTGAAATAAGGAAACTTGCCCAACCTTTCGCCCTGCCCGGGAATCAAACCCAGGTCTCTCGCTTGCAAGGCAAGTGCTCTAAACCACTGAGCTACAGGACTCTGAAGATAACTATTTTTAGTGATCCCGATCCCACCATTGGCAGGCAGGCTTTCAGCCTTTCTGCCCCACTCTCTAAAACTCCATTCCATCTCTGAAACCTTCGGACCCCCTCCCTCACCTCATTCAAGGTCCTTCTTAAACTGTACCTCCTTCACCACACTTTCAGTCTTTCAGTCATCTTCCCCCTTCCCCCCACCTCGCCTGCATCCCACCCCAAGCTTGGGTGATCATCCAGTACGATTAAAATCTTTGGGACGTCCTCCTGATGCGAAAGGCACTATATAAATGTAAATTTGTACTGTTGTATGGTATTAAGCTCCATTTTTAAGTGATCTAAATATAAAGTTATAAAAAAGATGATTTTATGGAATTTCAAAACTGCACAGACCGAAAATGGCTCTTGTAATACGACTAGAGAAATCAGACCCATTATCCTTTGAAAATAGTTCAGCCGACTGCATATCCTTATAATCTGTGATTACAATAAAATAAATGTTTCAGAAAGCTTCAGGCAAGCTGTGAGGGGGATGAAATACAGTAGTTCACGTTGAGGAAATCACCAATGGAATTTGTTGTTTCAGGGGTTTACTTAGTAGGAACAGATGTAGATTCTCTGGTGCAATGTGATCAAAGAGAAGCATAACTTTAGCTCAGACGAAATCAGTGCGACGGGATTGTGGGAGGTTTTGGGGTGTGGCACACCCCATTCAGCCAGATGGTGCTCACAATACCACAACAAGTAAGAGGTGCCTGTGGCACTTAAACAAAACACAGCTCCAACTGAAACTGAGCAAGGTTCAGTGCCACAGCCAGTGTAGAGGTCTCTGCCATTGACGAAAAACTCACAATGCAAATCAATCCCAGACCATTTAGCTATTGCTGAGGAAGGCATGGTTAAGTAAGCCACTTCTGAAATCAGCTGCAGTCACACACATCTGGATTGGATTAAATGCATTTCATAGCTAGTCGTGAAATAGCTACTACTACTGAAATTCTGCATCACAAGTACACATTACCAGTGATAACTGTACAATAATATGTCCTAATGAGGAGGCATGCACTGTTTACACACAGGATTAAAAAATGACTTTCTTTTTGACTGACTTTATGCACTTTACAGGGAAGAAAATACATAACGAACAGAGAGAAAGCATGCAACATGTTTATTATTAACGATAATAATAATCTTTCATTTGATATAGCACTTATAACATTGAAACATCTCAAAGAGCTCTACTAGTAATTGCTGCCAAGTTTATTATAGGCAAACGTGGTGGCCGCTTTGCACACAACAAAATTCCAAAACAGCGATACAGTGAATGACCGTATCTGGAGCACTGTTGGCCAAGTTCTCCGGAAGCCCTGGTTAAAAAAGATTTCTGATTTTCATTAACAAGGTGGGGCAGCAGTTTGGAGTGATGCACGTTTATGTCCACACGGCTAATTACAATTGTGTCATTAAGAAGAACAGGTTAGAGGAGAAGGATACAAGGAGGAAGGACAAGTCATCAAAAGTAATCTTTCTTGTGAGCTTTTATTTGGCATCTATTCAGATGACTTGGCTGAATTTGTGAATGTATTATGCAAAGCGTCATTGATGCAACCTATCACGTGCTTTGCCACAAAGAAGAAGGATCATAATTGTATATAAGATTTTAAATGAGATTGAGAACTTAAACCTAGAATAATACTTTCAGATGTGTTATGGCATTGGAGATTCGGTGATATCGACAGGACCTTGATTCAACATCTCATTTTAACTATGAAACTTCTGACAATACAACGTCACTACTGCAGATGCCTGTCACGCTGAATTCATTAGTTCAGATCCCAACATGGGGCTTGAACCCACAATCCTCTGACCCAGAGGTTTTAGTAATTCTGAAGAGTTTTGCATTGTTTTTGCATGATAAGGCACTATATCAATGCAAAGCCTTTCTTTCCTGTCGATAGTACAAACTGAGAAGCTACCTGTATGAAAACAATGGACATGAAGCCACATTGCACCCTTCTGTGACACAATGCACTTGTGTACAAAGCACCAGCGCATCCAGGTGAAGCACTTGCAGCCTTAGCAGCCACCAATGCCATGCACAGTCTGCATATCTCCACTTCTCCAGAAATATCTTTCCATTAACTAGAGTCTTATTAAAAGCTTTACTATAACATGACTCGAGGGGCAGTTATTAAACCTCAGCTTGTGACGTTTCTAACTTTCCACCTAGACTGGTCAGATATTTGAGCAAGCTTAAAGGATAAAAATGAATACAATAAAACTAATTTCACACTATCTGCCCTAATCAGGGATAACATTCTTATTTAAAACACACTGCAGCAGACGGCAAACTGCAAACATCCCAGCAGAAAATCACCCAAAACGACTTGTTCATACACTTAATTTGTTCACATTTTCCTAATCAAAAATGCCTGTTTTTCTATTTTTATTGATTAAATGCAGGGGTTCAGTATCACAGACCATAGGAAACCAGAACCAGATGTAAAAAGCCATTTCATTAACCCTTAGCCTGCTGGTCGGTCTGCAATGCGCAGTGCAAGGATTCACACTGTGAACACTGAAAGAAATACTAATACTACAATAAGGTGCTCAGGCTAGTTTATGCGAATGTCTTAGAGCATTTTACAACTAGCACTATTGCTGTAAAATGCTCTAAGACATTCACAAAAACACAAAAATCAACTACTGTATTTCAAATAAAAGTAAAACATTTTAAAAACATTCCCAATACTTGCTTACAAATGCACAACACAGAAAATCAGTGTTTAAATGGATGGTTGGGACCAGCCAGTATAGCATCATAGTATTTTGAATTATCTCGCATCAGCTTGTTAGTGCACAAGATTGTAAAATGTTATCAATAATACAGTGGAGCCCCATTATAGTGTCGTAGTTGGGGGGATGGGGGACATAGAATCCCAAACAGTGTTACAACAGGCAGAATCACCCATCAGCTCTTCTACACGTGCTGCACATGGAAAGGAATATCAGCAGTAACCTGGTGACCCTGAAAACAGCCATTTTCCCGCGAACCAGCTGTTATCTCGAAGGGCCGTTTGAGCTCATGTCTGCACTTTGGATTTTCCGGGTAAGTAAGTGTTGGGGTCCACACTCTAACCTGCGATATAAGTCAATCTATGTTGTAACATATTAAATTATAACACTCTACTGTATAAAAGGTTCCATAAATTCTAGGTGTCTGATCAATCAAGAATAAACCATTGGACTTGGATCTCTAGAACATCAAGGTGACTGTCACGTCATAAATGATCTTGTATAGGTCCTCCCACCATATCAGTCACCTAGCTAATGAAGAAACTCGGAGGCTTGCTAGGATAGCTGCTGGAAGGCAACTTCTGCTACCATAGAACCATATACATTTAGGTAGGAAGCCATTTGATTCATTGTATTAGTGTCAGCGTTTGTTCTTCCAATGAAGGATTCATCCTCATCCCAATTTATTTTCATAAATATTTAATTATTTCTGTGATTTTAACTTGGTGCTCTCTTGTTTACTGATTCACCAACTAGCGATAATAATCAATTACTATTTACCCTATCATAACACTTCATAAAAATCTCTAAAATCTCTATCAGGTCAGACCTTAACCTTCAGGTTGCTTGTACTTTTGTTCTCAATGTTTTTACTAGAACTTAAAGATGCTTCTGTCCTTTTATAGGTATAAGTTGTATTAGCATTGATTCAGAGTCAAGCCTGGAGTTAATGATTACACAATATAATAGTACATTGAGTTTGTGAATTTCAAGATACAAAAGTACATGGGTGAAGACATAATGCATCTCTTTTGCTATGAAATGAATGAAATAGATATCTAGAGAAGAAATCTCTTCATTACAATTCAGGGTTAAGTAGGAAGCAGTACAAATTACACATTGAACACATGAGCTAATGCTGCAAAAATGTTGGTTAGTCTTAGACTTAAAATATACATCCATATTTGAAAGTGTTAACAACATGCCGAGCCATCTTGTGTGCAGCAAAATAAGCTCCTCACTTTCATCATCTGAAGCCTTGCTCGTCGATCTGTGGGATCATATGGTCAGTGCCGCTGATCCTCTCCTTTGCTTCGACTTTAAAATATTCAACCAAAGTAGAAAGAAAAACTGCTGATGCAGTCAAGAGGAAACATTCAGTTCTGATTATGCTCTGTTAAGGTTTTTTTTCTTCTTCCCTAAATTGGTTCCTGGCTTTGATTCACAGGCCATTGCCTGACCAGATTTTCTCATCTGCAGCAAGACGCGAGTATCTGGGAGGGAAGCCTTGGGACACGATGATTACAGATAACATAATAAACAGTTAAAATAAAATAGAATTACACGGCTGATCTGATTAGAATCACTCTGACAATCTGCAAGAACGGCATCCTGCCTCTAAAGCAAAGGCGCTCCCCCACTACTCTATATAGTATTGGCAAGCTGAAAATATTAAGTGTGCTTTAGAGCAATATCTCGAAGAGCCTCTGGTGAGTCTGTTAGTCCACTTCACACATGCTTGCAATGTGAATTGCCTGGAGACGTTGGCTGCTTGTAGACTACCAATGAGAGCACTTCCAACGCCCTGATGCACACAACTACACAGAAATCCCCAAACATACCTGGAAATGTGCTATTTATTTCCTGCTGACCGAGTTTACTTTTCTGTAGTGCAGTTATTTCCTGCTTGTCAAAATTTCTTTTATTCTTGGTTCAAATATTTTTGGCTTATTGAGTATCATTAAAATAGGAAGAAATCTACTCTTCCTTCTGTTAGATTCAGAAATTCCCCAGATACCTTTCTGATTCCATTTTTTTTGCTCTCTCTCCCCCCATAAGGTGTATATTATTTGGCACATGGCAAAGAAGCAGGGAAAAAAAACCTCAAGAGTATTGATTTATTTCTACCATCCTACATTTTTCTTTTATTAAAATAAAATGACATTGATTCTCAAACAGTACACAAGCTGAATCACTGCCACAGAACATCTGTATATTCTATCAAATATTTATATTTATTTTTTAAGGGCATGGAGATATTGGATTGTAAATAAGTGATCATCGTTCATTCTTCTTGATTATGTACACAGCTGTACATCCATCTTAAAGACTGCTTGCTCTTGAGCCTTCTGAGATAGGGCTCTTAGTTAAGTAGACCTTTGGTCCTTAGACGATACTCTTACCGAACACTCCCAGATTGCCCAGGATCAAGCAGGTGTCAGTTTTATCGATGCCTCTGTGACAAGAGACCCATAAAAAACATTTTAACCCATGTTTCTGCAAAGTTTTCTATCAAATGTCAGCAGCTAAAAATACCAGATTTCTCTGTGTTCAGTCTCTTCAGTGTGAAGGAAGAACAAGAGAAAGCTAGGAGAAAAGAAAGCAAGATACAGCACAGACAAAGCTGTAAAGCCCAGAACAGCCAGTGGGCACATCTGGTATAATTAGTTTTCATCTTAATTAGAAGAACATACTTCTGTACTACAAGTAAACAAAGCGCCGCAGTAGGATTTTAATTGGTTCCATACAACACTCTTACATTCCAACAGTGAGATGAGATCTGACCCCAGTCAACTCTTTGCATTTGAATTTTGATTCAGGAAACACACGTTACTTGTCTTTAGCTTCTGGCAAAGTCGCTGGTCAACAAACAACATTGATCATCAGAATGGAAGCAAGGAATGGTTGGACTTTTATTGACAATTGTATTCTGTTGCAACTTCTAACAAAATGGTCAATTTTATACAAAATAATTTTAAAAGGACCATTTGTTTTTGCAGAACCTATTGATTTCAAGATGCTCACATTCATGTACAGATTGCTTTGTGCCCTGGGATCTCCCCCATTAGACTGACTAAAACAATAGAACAATTACACATAGCCTTACATGGTGCTATCAAAGTTTGTGGCATCTGATATCTCCAATGTTGACCCCATTCAGTGCTTTGACTAAGCCCTAATGTGGAGCCAGCTGAACGAAGGAGGTGGATAGAGGAGTGAGGAGTAAGCAGGTTGGAAAGGGAGATGCCAGGGCACAAAGCAATCTATACATGAATGTGAGCATCTTGAAATCAATAGGTTCTGCAAAAACAAATGGTTCTAAAAGGAAAAGACGGACCAGTTTAATTGTAATAAATAATGTTCAATGTGTAAAAATCAAATTAACCACTGGCTCTGTAGCAGGCCATGTGACATATACTGCACATGGGAATCTGTTGTTATCCTTCAAATTATGGTGACCAGGGAAAATACAACTTGAATTGTGTCAAACTGCCAATGTCATCCGCTTCGATGTATTATCAATAATTAATTGTAGTTATCTACAAGGTTTGAGAAACCCAAATTCACTGTAAAAATAACTAAAAAATAAACTGCATGAATCTATTCCAATTCAAATCCACAGACAATGCACATAATGTCAATATTGTGTCCTAATGGAAAACCACATCTTTTAATGGAATAGAAAGAACACTAACTCAACGAGGACCTGCACACCCCAGTCACTGCCCTGCAGGTGTGTAGTTGTAAGAATGGCTTACACTTGGAAAATATTACTATCTTGTCTTACACCACATAAATGGTGACCCACTGTATCAATTAATCACGTGCTTAGTGTGTGTCCAGGGGATGGCGAGGCACGTGTCCAGGGAAATAAGTACTGAGAGCTTGAGACAAGCATGCTCAGATGTACCCTGGAGAGATGTCTGATACTAAACACCCCTTAGGAGTAGGAAGAAGAAAATCAGCCAGAGTGGCTGCTTCCAATTGTTATCCAGAGTCCCCTCCTGGAAGTTGATGTGCGATGATGTTGGGGTAAGATAGGATTAGCTGGGCTTGAATGACCCCCATGGTTGAAAAATCTGTCAGCATTCAATGTCAAAACTCACCCATGGACAGTGCATCAAAGGGCACTCGCTGCCCATGAAACCATACATCAGCAACAAAAATAAGAGTCAAATACATCCAGGAGAGGAAGAGGAAGGGAAGGGGGGAGAAAATCATTGGTGAAAAAAATACCAATGTGCTGTCATTAAGACAAATTCCCCTGACATGAAACAAAAAGTTTCAGACATTTCATCAATTACTACCTTCTTCGTAAATATACCCTCATTTGAAGGTTATAAAATGCTTTGTTTTCTTGTCTGAACAGCAGTGCATTACATTCCCTTTGTGTGATGTGGGTTTAAATAATTCTCTTGCTTCAGATGCATGTGGACCAATGTTTTTTAATTAAAGCAGCTGGGAATATTAACTTCTCAAAAATTCCAATTAACTGTTACATTTCTCAGGTTGTTTGAATATCTACTGCAACTTCAATTTATTTTGTATTAGATTTCAGAGTTTTCAGCAATATTTGTCAAAAAAATGCAATTGGCTACAAGGATTCACCTGATTGACGTGGACAAAACATTTTATGTGAGAACATTTATATTTTCTAACTTGTCAGATGCCACTGGCTCCCAATATTGATTCTAAAATCCTTGTCTTAACCTTCAAATCCCTTCCTACAGTTGAATTTTCCTCCAAATCCACTCTCCTGCCATCGTCTCTGCTCCTGTGACTCTGAACTATTGCTTGATCTTCACGTCCTCTACCCACCTCTCGATAGGAATCCACGGTGTGACAAAGGTCAATTTTATTGTCTTATTGCACCTCAATATAGTCTCAAAAGCCCAGGGTATTGTCCAATATTCCCTCTGGTCTCTTCTCTGGAGTCTAAGACCAGTAATCACTGTATTAAGGGCTAATGTCTGTGAACTGATTGTTTCTTAGTAACTGAATTATAATAATTACATTAATCTTTGCATTTGATATAGCACCTTATCACATCTTCAAAACATCTCAAAGTGCTTCACAGAATACACTGTAAAGTGAATAGGCTGTATATTTTGTTGGAGAAACGCGGTAGCCAATTGCGCACAGCAGTGTCTCACAAACAGTCGTGGATTGAGTGACCAAATTATTCTTTATTTTTTTTGAAGGGATTATTACCCCCAGAAAAGTGATCTACCAATCAACTAACAGTAGTTAGTAGTTCATACTTACTACTGGGTGAACAGAGGTGTGTGGAGTAAGGAAACTTGCCCAACGTTTCGCCCTGTCCGTGAATCAACCCAGGTCCTCTCATGTTTGAGGTGAGTGCTCTATCCAGTAAGCTACATGACTCCATTTACCGTATTTTTCTACTGGTTTTATTGCAATATTATTTTTCCACCAATACAAGCACTGAGGAAGTCTAACAATAGATTACAGTTAACAACTCACTTAATGTTTGAATAACCAGTGTTTGTTACTTCTTTATTTCTCACTTTAATAAATAGCAGCAACAGAATATCTAGTCAGTACTGCAAGAAAATAAGGTCCAAGAAACTGGGTAAGTCTTAACAGCAGCTTCACTTCCTTAAGTCCATCTGTGTGTTTATATCTGATCTTTGTTTTCTGTCTGTGAGGTTTCCTCCACACATGGCAGGCAGCTGTCAGCAATGGTGGGGGGTGTCAAAGGCCAATGCAGCTGTCTTGTGTAATCACCAGACTCCATCAACAAGCCATGGATTCCAACAGAGAGGGAGCTGGCTAGCAACACAGGATACAGTACACAAAAGACCACCTTGTCCATCAGACGTGTGAGGCAATCGACATTATCTCGAATTGATTACTTTATTGCTTCTCCATGGAGTTCGCAATGAATCCTGTCTTACCTACGCTACCTCCAAATAGCTACCCCACAAGGGGGGGGATTTCACTGGTTCTTGCCTGGGTTGTTCGGAGTCTGCTGCACAGTGCACCATCCTGTCTCAGGGGAGTTAACACTGCAAAAGGATCTATCCTGAGCTACAAAGCATGCTAACCTCTGGCTGATGCACAACAGTGCTAATAGTAGTGTGGAAAATTAGGCAGCTCATTTATCCCAATAAGCTTGGTTTAAGGTCAGGATGAAGACTGCAAGGCTGCATATATGCATAGGCATAGGAGACGGTGGAGGGATTTGTAATAATAATAATCCCTCCAAAACAAAACAATAATACATTGGTCATTTCCAATCCATGACTGTTTGTGGGACACTGCTGTGCGCAATTGG